CTCCGACTTGTGCACACCAGCCAGCTCCGACTAGTCTAGCTCATTCCCTCCGACTTGTGCACACCAGCCAGCTCCGACTAGTCTAGCTCATTCCCTCCGACTTGTGCACACCAGCCAGCTCCGACTAGTCTAGCTCATTCCCTCCGACTTGTGCACACCAGCCAGCTCCGACTAGTCTAGCTCATTCCCTCCGACTTGTGCACACCAGCCAGCTCCGACTAGTCTAGCTCATTCCCTCCGACTTGTGCACACCAGCCAGCTCCGACTAGTCTAGCTCATTCCCTCCGACTTGTGCACACCAGCCAGCTCCGACTAGTCTAGCTCATTCCCTCCGACTTGTGCACACCAGCCAGCTCCGACTAGTCTAGCTCATTCCCTCCGACTTGTGCACACCAGCCAGCTCCGACTAGTCTAGCTCATTCCCTCCGACTTGTGCACACCAGCCAGCTCCGACTAGTCTAGCTCATTCCCTCCGACTTGTGCACACCAGCCAGCTCCGACTAGTCTAGCTCATTCCCTCCGACTTGTGCACACCAGCCAGCTCCGACTAGTCTAGCTCATTCCCTCCGACTTGTGCACACCAGCCAGCTCCGACTAGTCTAGCTCATTCCCTCCGACTTGTGCACACCAGCCAGCTCCGACTAGTCTAGCTCATTCCCTCCGACTTGTGCACACCAGCCAGCTCCGACTAGTCTAGCTCATTCCCTCCGACTTGTGCACACCAGCCAGCTCCGACTAGTCTAGCTCATTCCCTCCGACTTGTGCACACCAGCCAGCTCCGACTAGTCTAGCTCATTCCCTCCGACTTGTGCACACCAGCCAGCTCCGACTAGTCTAGCTCATTCCCTCCGACTTGTGCACACCAGCCAGCTCCGACTAGTCTAGCTCATTCCCTCCGACTTGTGCACACCAGCCAGCTCCGACTAGTCTAGCTCATTCCCTCCGACTTGTGCACACCAGCCAGCTCCGACTAGTCTAGCTCATTCCCTCCGACTTGTGCACACCAGCCAGCTCCGACTAGTCTAGCTCATTCCCTCCGACTTGTGCACACCAGCCAGCTCCGACTAGTCTAGCTCATTCCCTCCGACTTGTGCACACCAGCCAGCTCCGACTAGTCTAGCTCATTCCCTCCGACTTGTGCACACCAGCCAGCTCCGACTAGTCTAGCTCATTCCCTCCGACTTGTGCACACCAGCCAGCTCCGACTAGTCTAGCTCATTCCCTCCGACTTGTGCACACCAGCCAGCTCCGACTAGTCTAGCTCATTCCCTCCGACTTGTGCACACCAGCCAGCTCCGACTAGTCTAGCTCATTCCCTCCGACTTGTGCACACCAGCCAGCTCCGACTAGTCTAGCTCATTCCCTCCGACTTGTGCACACCAGCCAGCTCCGACTAGTCTAGCTCATTCCCTCCGACTTGTGCACACCAGCCAGCTCCGACTAGTCTAGCTCATTCCCTCCGACTTGTGCACACCAGCCAGCTCCGACTAGTCTAGCTCATTCCCTCCGACTTGTGCACACCAGCCAGCTCCGACTAGTCTAGCTCATTCCCTCCGACTTGTGCACACCAGCCAGCTCCGACTAGTCTAGCTCATTCCCTCCGACTTGTGCACACCAGCCAGCTCCGACTAGTCTAGCTCATTCCCTCCGACTTGTGCACACCAGCCAGCTCCGACTAGTCTAGCTCATTCCCTCCGACTTGTGCACACCAGCCAGCTCCGACTAGTCTAGCTCATTCCCTCCGACTTGTGCACACCAGCCAGCTCCGACTAGTCTAGCTCATTCCCTCCGACTTGTGCACACCAGCCAGCTCCGACTAGTCTAGCTCATTCCCTCCGACTTGTGCACACCAGCCAGCTCCGACTAGTCTAGCTCATTCCCTCCGACTTGTGCACACCAGCCAGCTCCGACTAGTCTAGCTCATTCCCTCCGACTTGTGCACACCAGCCAGCTCCGACTAGTCTAGCTCATTCCCTCCGACTTGTGCACACCAGCCAGCTCCGACTAGTCTAGCTCATTCCCTCCGACTTGTGCACACCAGCCAGCTCCGACTAGTCTAGCTCATTCCCTCCGACTTGTGCACACCAGCCAGCTCCGACTAGTCTAGCTCATTCCCTCCGACTTGTGCACACCAGCCAGCTCCGACTAGTCTAGCTCATTCCCTCCGACTTGTGCACACCAGCCAGCTCCGACTAGTCTAGCTCATTCCCTCCGACTTGTGCACACCAGCCAGCTCCGACTAGTCTAGCTCATTCCCTCCGACTTGTGCACACCAGCCAGCTCCGACTAGTCTAGCTCATTCCCTCCGACTTGTGCACACCAGCCAGCTCCGACTAGTCTAGCTCATTCCCTCCGACTTGTGCACACCAGCCAGCTCCGACTAGTCTAGCTCATTCCCTCCGACTTGTGCACACCAGCCAGCTCCGACTAGTCTAGCTCATTCCCTCCGACTTGTGCACACCAGCCAGCTCCGACTAGTCTAGCTCATTCCCTCCGACTTGTGCACACCAGCCAGCTCCGACTAGTCTAGCTCATTCCCTCCGACTTGTGCACACCAGCCAGCTCCGACTAGTCTAGCTCATTCCCTCCGACTTGTGCACACCAGCCAGCTCCGACTAGTCTAGCTCATTCCCTCCGACTTGTGCACACCAGCCAGCTCCGACTAGTCTAGCTCATTCCCTCCGACTTGTGCACACCAGCCAGCTCCGACTAGTCTAGCTCATTCCCTCCGACTTGTGCACACCAGCCAGCTCCGACTAGTCTAGCTCATTCCCTCCGACTTGTGCACACCAGCCAGCTCCGACTAGTCTAGCTCATTCCCTCCGACTTGTGCACACCAGCCAGCTCCGACTAGTCTAGCTCATTCCCTCCGACTTGTGCACACCAGCCAGCTCCGACTAGTCTAGCTCATTCCCTCCGACTTGTGCACACCAGCCAGCTCCGACTAGTCTAGCTCATTCCCTCCGACTTGTGCACACCAGCCAGCTCCGACTAGTCTAGCTCATTCCCTCCGACTTGTGCACACCAGCCAGCTCCGACTAGTCTAGCTCATTCCCTCCGACTTGTGCACACCAGCCAGCTCCGACTAGTCTAGCTCATTCCCTCCGACTTGTGCACACCAGCCAGCTCCGACTAGTCTAGCTCATTCCCTCCGACTTGTGCACACCAGCCAGCTCCGACTAGTCTAGCTCATTCCCTCCGACTTGTGCACACCAGCCAGCTCCGACTAGTCTAGCTCATTCCCTCCGACTTGTGCACACCAGCCAGCTCCGACTAGTCTAGCTCATTCCCTCCGACTTGTGCACACCAGCCAGCTCCGACTAGTCTAGCTCATTCCCTCCGACTTGTGCACACCAGCCAGCTCCGACTAGTCTAGCTCATTCCCTCCGACTTGTGCACACCAGCCAGCTCCGACTAGTCTAGCTCATTCCCTCCGACTTGTGCACACCAGCCAGCTCCGACTAGTCTAGCTCATTCCCTCCGACTTGTGCACACCAGCCAGCTCCGACTAGTCTAGCTCATTCCCTCCGACTTGTGCACACCAGCCAGCTCCGACTAGTCTAGCTCATTCCCTCCGACTTGTGCACACCAGCCAGCTCCGACTAGTCTAGCTCATTCCCTCCGACTTGTGCACACCAGCCAGCTCCGACTAGTCTAGCTCATTCCCTCCGACTTGTGCACACCAGCCAGCTCCGACTAGTCTAGCTCATTCCCTCCGACTTGTGCACACCAGCCAGCTCCGACTAGTCTAGCTCATTCCCTCCGACTTGTGCACACCAGCCAGCTCCGACTAGTCTAGCTCATTCCCTCCGACTTGTGCACACCAGCCAGCTCCGACTAGTCTAGCTCATTCCCTCCGACTTGTGCACACCAGCCAGCTCCGACTAGTCTAGCTCATTCCCTCCGACTTGTGCACACCAGCCAGCTCCGACTAGTCTAGCTCATTCCCTCCGACTTGTGCACACCAGCCAGCTCCGACTAGTCTAGCTCATTCCCTCCGACTTGTGCACACCAGCCAGCTCCGACTAGTCTAGCTCATTCCCTCCGACTTGTGCACACCAGCCAGCTCCGACTAGTCTAGCTCATTCCCTCCGACTTGTGCACACCAGCCAGCTCCGACTAGTCTAGCTCATTCCCTCCGACTTGTGCACACCAGCCAGCTCCGACTAGTCTAGCTCATTCCCTCCGACTTGTGCACACCAGCCAGCTCCGACTAGTCTAGCTCATTCCCTCCGACTTGTGCACACCAGCCAGCTCCGACTAGTCTAGCTCATTCCCTCCGACTTGTGCACACCAGCCAGCTCCGACTAGTCTAGCTCATTCCCTCCGACTTGTGCACACCAGCCAGCTCCGACTAGTCTAGCTCATTCCCTCCGACTTGTGCACACCAGCCAGCTCCGACTAGTCTAGCTCATTCCCTCCGACTTGTGCACACCAGCCAGCTCCGACTAGTCTAGCTCATTCCCTCCGACTTGTGCACACCAGCCAGCTCCGACTAGTCTAGCTCATTCCCTCCGACTTGTGCACACCAGCCAGCTCCGACTAGTCTAGCTCATTCCCTCCGACTTGTGCACACCAGCCAGCTCCGACGAGGCAGCGGAGAAGGCAAAGAGAGTGCGCAACTTGGGCAAGCGGCTGCGACGGAATGAGGAGCTGAAGGCATGTGTTGCAGCAGCCCTGAATCCTGCCTACCCATTTACCCCTCTCCTCAATCTGTGCTGGTTCCCCTCCCTTGCAGACGAGGCAGCAGAGAAGGCGAAGAGAATGCGCAATCTGGGCAAGCGACTGCGGCAGATTGAGGAGCACCAACCCTGATTACGTCCTGTATTCTCCTCTCCTCTCCCATGCAGACGAGGCAGCACAGAAGGCAAAGAGGGTGCGCAACCTGGGCAAGCGGCTGAGGCAGATTGAGGAGCTGAAGGCGCGTGTTGCAGCAGCCCTGAATCTTGCCTACCCATTTACCCCTCTTCTTGATCTGTGCTGGTTCACCTCCCGTGCAGACGAGGCAGCAGAGAAGGCGAAGAGAATGCGCAACCTGGGAAAGCGGCTGCGACAGATTGAGGAGCTGAAGGCGCGTGTTGCAGCTGCAGGAGGCAGCACGGCGGGGCTGGACGCGGCTCAGAAGGAGAAGCTGGAGCAGGAGGGTGCCGTGAGAGCAGAGCTGGCGAGCTTGCAGGGGTAGAGTGCGGTGGGACAGGGTTACTCACGGTGGCAGCAGCGGGAGGTAGCACAGCGGGGCTGGACGCGGCTCAGAAGGAGAAGCTGGAGCAGGAGGCAGCACTAAGAGCAAAGCTGGCATCTTTGCAGGGGTAGAATAGGACAACACAACAGTACACAATGATAACAGTAACGGGAGAAGCTGTAACTGGTTAAATGACAGGGATGGATGCAGCGCAACGGGAGGAGCTGGAGCAGGAGGGCTCTGTGAGAGCAGAGCTGGCGAGCTTGCAGGGGTAGAGTGGGATTGGACAGGGTTACAAGGCATGACAGTAGCGGGAGAAACTGAAGCTGGTTTAACAATGTAATTGCAGAAGGTGAAGCTGGAACAGGAGGCAGCAGTGGGAGCTGAGCTGGCGAGCTTGCAAGGTTAGGGTGGGGTGAGGCAAGGCAGGGTAGAGAGAGGGGATGCAGCTGGCGACGAGGTGCAGCAACTCGGCAGGGCTGGACGCGGCTCAGAGGGAGAAGCTGGAACAGGAGGCAGCAGTGGGAGCTGAGCTGGCGAGCTTGTAGGGGAAGCATGGATCAAGGTAGGGAAGGTTCCATAGGGAGAGGCTCCAGGTGGTCACAAGGTGTGGGATACGGTGGGATAAGGTTACAGGGCGACACAGGAGAGAGGGAGAAGAGCAGCAGGGCAGGAGGCGTCTGTGGGAGCTGAGCTGGCTTTTTTGCAGATGGCACAGGGTTACCGTACATGGTGGAATGGCAGCAGGAGGATTGCGATTAGAAAGGAGTGATGGGAGCCCAGCTGATGAGATTTGGGGGAGTTGAGTGGAGAGAGGCAAGGCAAATCAATTGCAGACTCTGGAGTTGGTTACAACTTAAAGCCAGCAGCTAAAATAGTGACCCCCCCCTTCTAGTTGGGTCCACTTGAAAACTGAAGTTTTTTTGGAACAGTTTCGGAACCAATGAAGTGCTGTGCATGTTTATTTTTTCACTCCTGACGAGTCTCGCTGTGAACGGGGAACACTTGGAAGAGTGCACAATTCTGATTGGCAGCGAAACTCACACACAATGCACACATACTTCTCTGCGAATTTGGCGCAAGGTTTCAATGCCTGTATTCACTCGAGCAGTCATCGAACTTCACAAAACCGAACATCAATCAACAACACAGAATCCAGAGCACACACATATGCCAAGGTGGGCCGACGACTTGGCAGAGCTGCGAGAAACGGCGAGACCTTGGACTTGAGGCTGAGAGAGGTTAAAAATAGGGACAGTGTAGGACGAGGGGGATAGAATGATATCGATGGGGAGAGAGAGAGGAACAACGGCCAGCGAGGGGAGAGCGGAGGAGCGAAGGGAAGAAAGAGAAGAGAGGAGGCGAACGACGGGATGGGAGGGGAGAGGAGGCGAACGACGGGATGGGAGGGGAGAGGAGGCGAACGACGGGATGGGAGGGGAGAGGAGGCGAACGACGGGATGGGAGGGGAGGGGAGGACCGTGAGCGCGATGGCGAGGGAGGGGAGGAACGTAGCGCGATGGCGAGGGGAGGGGAGGAACGTGAGCGCGATGGCGAGGGGAGGGGAGGAACGTGAGCGCGATGGCGAGGGGAGGGAGGAACGTGAGCGCAATTGCGAGGCGACGGAGGAACGTGAGCGCGATGGCGAGTGGAGGGGAGGAACGTGAGCGCGATGGCGAGGGGAGGGAGGAACGACCGGATGGGAGGGGAGATTGCAAGGGCGACGGGATGGAGAGCGCTAAGGCGACGAAATGGAGAGCGCTAAGGCGACGAAATGGAGAGCGCTAAGGCGACGAAATGGAGAGCGCTAAGGCGACGAAATGGAGAGCGCTAAGGCGACGAAATGGAGAGCGCTAAGGCGACGGTAGAGAGAGCGCTAAGGCGACCATAGAGTGAGCGCTAAGGCGATGGGAGGGAGAGTGTTAGAAACTAGTAGCAGGAATCGATTAACTAGCAACATGCAGGAGTACAAGTAGTAAACCCTAATTGGGCTGTACCCCATATGGGCTACCCCACTACAGCCTAGACAATATGCAGCATATATGTTTGACACACCCCCATAGGCAAAGTGGGGGAGAACAAGGGGTCAAACGACCAGTCAAGAGAAGCAAAGCAAGCTCAGGGTGGATCTCAACGTCACCACACATTCTGAGCACAAGCAAAGGGCCACAAGGCCAGTCCACATGCAGAGATATATATGCAACAATAACAGTACAGTGATGACTACCTAGCAAGAGCAGGCATGCATGTATATATATAGATCACAGTACAAACAAAGGCTACAGCAAGTGTGGAAACGTAGGCACAAGGCCCAACAGGGTACAAAAGCGCTGATGATCACCAGACGGAAGTGCCTTGGTGAATATATCAGTAGTGTTGGCCCGAGTGGCCACGTGACGAAGACGAAGCTGGCCTCGCTGCTGCAACTCTCGAGCCAGGAAGTAACGCAGAGCAATGTGCTTCGTTCTGTGCTCCAGTTTGTGCTCCTCACACAAGGCAATGGCGGCCTTGTTGTCGACGTACAGCACTGGAGGAGAACGAGGCCGCTCTCCCAAGTCGGTCAGCAGGTAGGTGAGCCAGCGTAACTCCTGTGCAGCCATGGCTGTGGCGTAGATCTCAGCCTCACAACTGGAGCTGAGAACTGAAGACGAGCGTGTAGAACGCCACGAAACTGAACCAGAGCCAAGGCTGAAGGTGTAACCCTGTGACGACCGCTGAGTAGCCTGGTCGTCAACCCAAGAAGCGTCTGAGTGCCCAGTGAGGACAACTGGGCTCGTCCCTCCAAGCACTAGCCCCATGCCTGATGTGCTGCACAAGTAGCGCAGTACCCTCTTAGCAGCAGCCATGTGCTCAGGTCGGTGCCGACCAGGAGCCACGTAGCGAGCCAGAAGACCAAGAGGGTACGCGAGGTCAGGTCGAGTGCAAGTCATCAGGTACATGAGGCAGCCGACTAGCTCTGGGTAAGGACCACTCGGCTCTACGGACTCGTCCGAAGGTGGAGCTGAGAGCGTGTGACCTGTAGCCAGAGGAGTGGCCTGTGCTGAAGACCAGGTGAAGCCGAAGCGCTGAAGGACCTGCTGCACCATGTGTGACTGAGTCAAGGTGATGGTGCGGCGTGCTCTGTCCCGGGTGATCTGCAAGCCAAGGTAGCTGCGCAGCTCACCCAAGTCTGTGCATGTGTGTCTCTTCTGCAGCTCCGACTTCACGTGGGCGAGAGCCTCAGTGTCAGCAGTGGCAAAAACCAAGTCGTCGACGTACACGAGGATGTAGAACGGCGGCAGTGAAGTGTCGGTGCGCAGAAACAGCGACGGGTCAGCAGTAGAAGGCGCGAACCCAAGAGCCGCAAGCGTAGTCCTCAGTGTGTCGTGCCACTCACGTGGCGCCTGGCGGAGACCGTAGACCGGCCGCCGGAGGCTCCACTGGGTGCCAGGAGGGAACGACCCAGTGAAGCCCGGGGGGCGGCGCAGCCAGATCTCCTCGTGTAGGCTGCCCTGCAAGAAAGCTGTGCTGAAGTCAAGAGAGTGAAGCTCGTAGTCACGGTGAGCAGCAACATGCAGCAGCACCCGAAGAGTGGTCATCTTCGGGGTGGGGGAGAAGGTCTGGAAGAAGTCAACTCCCTCTCGCTGACTGAAGCCTCGAGCCACGTAACGCGCCTTGAAGACAGGCGGAGAACCCGGCGGCCGCTTCACCCTGAAAATCCACATGCCACTGACGATGTTCGCCCCAGGTGGGGGAACCTCGTCAACGTAGGTGCCTGTGGACTTCCAGGAAGCCATCTCTGCGTCCATGGCTGCCTGCCACTGAGAGGAGTAGGGACCCTCTATCGCCTCTGCGTAAGAGCGCGGAGTCGGGATGTCTGGTGCATCCGGGTCTCCCTCAGGGGCAAGTAGCGAGGACACAAGATGAGGTAAAGCAGCAGCAAGACACTGGAACTCCTCCTGCCTGTCCTCAAGGACGTCCGTGCTAAGAGCACACTCACCCCCGACGGACGGAGGACAGACAGACTCAGACTCAGCAACAAGACTGGCGGCGTAGTCTAGACGACAGGCAGCAGCAAAGTCAACAAGCTCAGCGACCAAGGCAGACGCAGCAGTAGACTCAAACGACGGGTCAGTGACAACAGTGGCTAGGAGACGCGTGACAGTAGGGTGCTCAGTACGAAACCGGTCAGACTCAGGGTCCGGAACGGCAGGCAGAGAGGACGCAGGGGGAGACGGCAGAGGAACAGGCTGCGGAGCAGAGGAAGGACGACGGACAACAAGGTGTGCGCTGGGGACAGCCGGCTGACGCGCACGAGCGACACGACGAACGGTACGACCAGAACGAACAGGCGAGACAGGACGCGACGCAGGCTCACGACGCGTAGCAGGACTGCCTGTCTGCTCAGTGTAAGGAGAGGGAGCAGGTAGCGGTGAGCCAGTCTGTAACGGAAGACCAGTAGACGACGGGAGAGTAACAACCTGACGAAGAGCAGAGTCAGGCGGCGGCTGAGACGACGGAGACGGCGGAGCGAAGAACAGTCGTGTCGGCGCAGCTGCACCAGTACCGGCAGCTCCAGCAGCTCCAGTGCCTCCAGCAGCTCCAGTACCTCCAGCAGCTCCCGTACCTCCAGCAGCTCCAGAAGCTCCAGTCCCAGAGCCGACACCCCCAGTCCCAGGGTCTCCAACCTCTGTGTCTCCAGCAGCAGCACCCCCAGACCCAGCACCTCCAGTCCCAGGGTCTCCAGTCTCAGTGTCTCCAGCAGCAGCACCCCCAGAACCAGCACCTCCAGTCCCAGGGTCTCCAGCCTCAGTGTCTCCAGCACGAGCACCTCCAGAACCAGCGACTCCAGCACCTCCAGTAGACAAAGGACCAGCACCACTCCTAGCTCCAGCAGCGCGACGCTGACGGCGACCGTACCAGTCCTGCAGC